AGTGATGCATACAATGGACTCCGGACTAGATGCGTTCCTCTAAGTCTTCGTACAAATATGATCGAGTTGCGAAAACAAGGTCAAACAACATCTATATAAAATTAAATTATTTCTCTAGCTACTAGCTTATGTGCTTCAAAATGACCTCGTATCACGTGCTCTTTTTTGGGAAATATTTCAGTATTTCATTTAAAGCTAGGATTATTTGTGTACTAGTGGCTAATCTTGTCCGCGGTCTCCTTTATAATATTGTCGTGATTTCTCTTATACAACATACTTTTCTACGATCTGTTGATTAGCTCTGAAATCATCTTATTCCGGTTCATATTTTCATATTGGTCAAACATTTGTTCTGACTTGAACTCGCAAATTATCACTTTTGAATCTTGATTTCTTACTCAACGATATTTATCGATCTGCATCATTAATTTGATCAGGCAGCCTAAGGAGCGCGCTTTGTTTCATTCGCTTGCTCTACTCGCGATATTTGCCTACACAATGCCCTCTCGTCGTAGTTCACAACGTACGAGCCACTCTGCTAAAGCGAATACCTCACTCTCTACCCGAAGACTTACTACTGAAAGTAGGCTGCGGAACGCTCCAGACGTCCGGCGGAACGGTCAGCGAGCCAAAATTATTCAATCAGGCATCGTCAATGGAAGTGGCCGCTTTCTCGCTCTTTCCAGACGATCTCAGTCTGACCATGGCATTCAGGCTGCGTCTCTTGCTCTCAACAGAACCAACACGAACAATAGAGCTGTGACTCGAACATCTTCGATGTCCATGCGAAATTCGGACACCCGACTAACTAGACGACGCTGTTTCACTACACTCCGAAAAAAGTCGTCTAGCCGCCGCATTCCATCTACTCATTTGACTCGTCTTAGCCTTCGTCAATCTCCCACGCCCATAAGTCCGATTGGCAGACGTAACAGTTCGCTTTCGTTAAACTGTCGTGAAAAGCTTCCCTCTGTTTCGAGGGCAAAAAGATGTCGAGTCTCTAAATCTACTGGCCGAGAGGCCGAAAGACTTGCTGGTTCCCTTCCAGCAGATCATGTCATGAGCAGGAGTGCTCAAGCCACACCCGCAGCCAAAGTGACCTCTATCACTACTGCTTCAGGTAAGCCGAGAATTGTCGCAAATATCTCTTCCACAGTCCACCAGGCACTGAAACATGGATCACAACGCAGCCGGTCACTGTTATTTTCCGCCAATTCCAGTACTAAACGTCCAAAACAGCAAAGTTCTAGGTCTTCGATATCAGGTTTTCCAAGTTTATCACAACCTCGGGCATGGAAAAAGCATCAGGTTCTAACATCCGCCTCCTTCCCTAAGGCACAGAATCCTCACCAGATGTCATATTTTCGTTCTTCTTCGCAGCCGGAGGAGCAAGAGCTGTCTACGAATAATCCACTAGAGCCCTGTCTGATGTCCGACATCCCTTCCGCTAGGGATAGCGCTAACTCAGTTACCAAGGTTTTATCAACAGCCTGCTCTTCTAATCCAAAGATAGATCAAACTTTTTCGGATATATGTGAACAGGTTGGAGAACCAACTATGTCTCAGTTCACATCCTATCAAGACTCTTACCCCTACAACCAATTGCCAAACGTCGCTCAGTCGGGAACTCCAGCTGTTCTCACTTCGGTTGAATCACAGGCGCAAGCTGGCATCACTGAAGTATCTGACGTAGACACGGATCTATTTCACTCTTCGGATATCAACTATAACAATAACTTCAAAAGTGATGCGTTGACAAGTTTTTTATCGCTTGCTCTAGGGAGCTCAGATTCAGAGAATACTGATGAGGACCAAGAGGAAGAAGAAATAGATGCTGCTTTCGCCTCATAACCATAGCTCAATAACCTGTTGCATTTCTTCATCAAGTATTCCTCCAAAATTCATTTATATTCGAACAACTGATCTGGCGAAATAATGTGTGATTTTCATGATTTTTTCACGCATTCAAATGCTTGGCTGGTTGAATCTAGTCAAATAGGTTTGATTACTTTATAAATTCTTCATTCTCACTCACACGATTCAGTTTCGAAGGAGTACCTAGATCATCATAGTTACCATTCTACCAGTCAACTTTACTATTCCTTAAGTTATAAACAAACCAGCTTACGGAAATGAATATCTGTATAAATGTTTCAATCTTATATTACAAAGTCGTTGATTCTGTTTTTGCTTCTTGGCTGGAAAATAATGTTGTCACTTCCTCACGTCATAGATTAATTATCCCTTTTTCAACTTATTATGCATGTATGCTTTGGGATATATAATAATTAGGTCGAAATAAACTTTACAAGTTATTTGACCTTGTTTTCACAACTCGGTCATATTGGTAGGAAGACTTATAGGAACGCACCTAGTCCGGAGTTCATTGTATGCATAATCATTTCCAGAGTAGGACCGTGGACGTGGTACATTCCCAAACGCTTCGCCGGCATCGTGAGTGAGTCTCGCCATTCTTAGCACCATATTACAACTCGTCAAAGAGACAAGTGAAGTCCATCCTTTGACCAAACCTGTGCTATTCAGTTGTGCTATCTCCCCTTCTGCCCTGGGCTATTCACATTTACTATATCCTATCATGCCCTCCCTGTCACAATTTTTACCGTGCTTACCTTCGACTAAATAAACTATATCCATGTAAACGTGGTGAGCGAACTCCACTCCGTTGTTTTGTGTTGATTATACTTCTTGGTTTAGTTACATTGTCCAGGCTAAATGTTTTTCGCTCATAATTGTATGCATAATTTGCTAACGCCCTACTCGTCTTTGGCCAGGGCCTTTTTTTAACACGATTACCTCTAACTTCCTTATTAAAAGTTTACTTAAGTTAAACTTATTTAGCTATCCGATTGGTAATTATTTGAATATACAACCTATGTCAAGAGTTATAATTCCAGCTTGGCGTATTTTCCCTCATTTTTACGACCGCTGGAAACCATTTTTTCAGTTTAATTGAGATATAACTTGTCCTGTGTTTTCTTCTCTTAAACCGTATACTTCAATTCTTGTAGATCTAAAATTTTATTTATATTTTGTATTTGCAGGTTCTTTACGCCATCGAACTTTCGCCGAAATTGTATAGATCATCTGGCAATGGGCCTTTGACTTATCGTCGATTCGTATCTATTAGCGAATTTCTTCTGGCCTCTCCGTGCATATCGTTTGATCTCGTATCTGCTCGGCGCCGTCGTAAATATTGCATAACCACATTTTTCAAATGAATATTCTCTGCAGTCTGCTCCCTATTCGTTTTGTATATCTTATGTTTGCCTAGTTTTTCTTTGGCCTACATCTCTCCAGAGATATACTCATTCGGTTGCCATTTCGATTCTTCACAATACCTTCCATGTCATTTTGCCTCTGCTATCTGACAGTAACATCGACTTAGCCATAGAACAATTATACAAGGAATGTCAAAGTCATCAGACGAGCTCTATTAGACCAGAGGGACACAATGATTAATTTTTGCCCTGGTCTTTTTACCACTCCACATTAATAGACACAATCATCCTTTACGTATGATAAGTAGTGGCTTAAATACCGTCAGCGAACCTCAATTTAGATTTCTATTTATAGAATTTCTTTGTTTATTCACCTCATTATTAATTAAGAGGAGATAATTGACCTAGGATCATACACCGCAAGTCTTGGTCTGTCATAAGCTATGGTGTATTCTTAGCTAA